GCCCAAAAGGTGAATTAGAAACTGGATTTGATATTTTCAGTTGGGTCACATTCCCAAACAACTCCTTTCTCAGAGTCCAAGTTGGAAAGATTGACCCTACAGCTCCCCCAGACAATCTTCTCACCATTTCTGCCAAGGATGCCGTTTGGCCCCACATATTTAACCAGGTCTGTCTCATTTTTCACTTTTTATGAAATCATTTAGCCACTGATCCATGCAATTAAATGCTTAAAAAAAAAACTTAGATAAAGCTACTAAGCAGCCTCAGGCTAATGTTTTCTTTTGGATATGATATGAACATACACTACTAAAGTAAAAGAGGTGGTTTAAGGTTTCTATATCTAAAATATTTCTTTAGTTCCAGTGCAAAGCTATCTTAGTACCCCCCCCCCCCCATTTTGAATCCCACAGGGATTACATTAGCACGCTCTGGGCGATTAGCGATTCCGAGTGACTGGTGTCCAGGAGCCGGAGTGTAGCTGTGGCTGTTTTAAGGTGGTGCTGGCTGCCTGATGGCGATAGAGGTGATAGAGGCGGTGGGGAAGAAGAGCTCCCCTGGCCTCCACTGTGGGGGGCAGCTGGACCTACTGGTATGGGGAATGGTAGGCTGCTGGCTGGACTTTCCATCTGATTTTTGGACATTGGAAACCCCAGACTTCTGGAGGTGGCGAAGACAGCAGAGACAGCCTCTCTATGACTTTGCATCATGTGATGATTGGCTGGCAAAAACTGCCGGAGTTTTTGTGAGATGTGTTTCCTTCTTTTACTGCTGGAGATTCTTCGTGATTACATCCTTTTTTCTTCCATAGGTGAAGCTACTCCCAAAGTGCTTTGTTTTCAATGCCATGATTTAGCCTGTGAGGAGGTTTTATGGGGATCTGGGGTTGTAGGGTGGTCAAAGAGAGTGAGGGGAATGTGATTAGACCCTCTTCTTTGGGTGACAGCCAGGGGGAGGGATGGTGGAATGGCTCCCTGCTGGGTGGATGAGAGCAACTGTGTAGGCAGTTCTCCTGTAGGATATGGTGTGCGTGTGGAGGGTGTGAAGACCCAAGGTGCTGAGAACTGCTCCTTTAGCACAGTTGAGTTTTACCTCTACCCTGGTGTAAGTAGGTTGGTGGGGGGTTCCCTTAGAGTGAGAGGAGAGGTTAAGGATGGGTGATGAAGAGATTGGTGGGTGAAGGTGGCAGGGCATTGTGTTTCAGTGGTGTCAGATACAGGAAAATATGGTGGTGGGGGTGCATTGCTCACAGGGAATGCGACCTCAAGTACCGGCTTGGTGTTCCAGTCCCCTGAGTCAACCCATTTACCTTCCAAGCAGATCAACAGAGGCTTGGGTCTTAGGCTGCTGCTTTGAATGACAGATTAATGTGAAATAAGGCACCCCCTTATTGCTGATTTGATCATCATGGAGATGGTTGATCTGGCATGTGTCACTGAGTCTTGGCTGGGGCCAGAGGGAAGAGTTCCTCTCTGAAATATGCCTGGCTGGGTATTGAGTGTGGCACCAGCCCAGATTACAGTGTAGGGAAGATTGTGTCACTATTTTTATCAGGAGTCTCTGGCAGTTACTAGGGGCATTACTCTGCAAGTTCCCAGTTGTGAGACCCTTCGTCTGTTCCTGGGCTCTAGGGATCAGTTGGGATTGCTGCTACTGTACCAGTCTCCCTGATGCATATCAGCCTCCCTGCCTGATGTCCTAGACCTCACTGCAAGGTTGGTGGTGAGTTTCCCAGGCTTATGATTCTGGGGGACTTCAATCTACCCTCCCTGGGAGTGGGGTTGGAGGTAGCTCAGGAATTCATGGAGACCATGACTTGCATGTGCCCAGATCATCCAGGGCCCAACTAGAAATAGTGGTCACACACCCGATTTGCTGTTCTTGTTGCAGCTGTTCCTTTCTGACCTGGAACTGGTGGACCTATTTCTGATCCCTGTGTCATGGTCAGATCACAACCTGATGTCTATCAGCTTCTCTAGCATGGCGCCCCTTTGCAGGGAGGCAGAACCTATTAGGTTGGTCCACCCCCAGTGACTGATGGACCTTGTTGGGTTTCAGAAGGAGCTGGGGGTTATGACTGAAGATCTGCTGCACTGTTCTGCCAAGACCCTAGTGGCCAGCTGGAATAGGAAGGTGATTAAGGCTTTGGACAGGATTGCAGCTATGTGACCCCTCCCAACCCATGGAGCTTATCACCTCCCTGTGGTATATGGAGGAACTGAGTGGGATGAAACAGATTAAGAGACATCTAGACTGCTGCTGGCAGAAGGCGAAGAATGAACTTGACCGAACATGGATAAGAGCTGCTATCAAAGCTTACCTTGTGGCAATCCATGCAGCAAAGCAGCAATACTTCTCTGTGCTAATTGCATCTGCAGAAAATCACCCAGCAGCCCTCTTTAAGATGACCCAATTTTCTCTGGGGAAGGAGGATACAGAGGTCTAGCTGCAGGGATACACTGAGGCATTTGCTGATTTTCTGGAAGACAACACGCTCGGATTCATTCCCAGTTAGTCGTAGGCGTGGCTGTTGGTCTAGTGGAGATGCATGGGGCAGGCTCTTGCCTGGTTAAATGGGAATGGTTTCATCCTATTGCTCTCAAGGGAGTGGACAGGATCCTAGGGAGTGTGAGCACAACCACCTGTGTTTTAGACCGTGCCCCACCTGGCTGGTAAAGGACTCTCAGGAGGTGATGAGTGGGTGGGTAATGGCAGCATTTAATGCATCCTTGAGTGAGGGGGTGGTGCCACAGCCCTTCAATAAGGCTGTGGTCTGCCCCCTTCTTAAGAAGCCATTGCTAGATCCCACCCTGATGGCCAAATTTTGTTCTGTCTCCAACCTCCCCTTCTTGGGGAAGGTTGTTGAAAAGGTGGTCTCACTGCAGCTCCAGAGGATCCTGGATGAAATAGATTATCTGGACCCCTTTCAGTTGGGATTCAGGCCTGGTTATGGGATGGAAATGCATTGGTCACCCTTTTCGATGATTGCTGGTGGGAGTGGAAGATGGGGGTAGTACATCTAACCTTTGCCTACTTGATCTCTCTGTGGGTTTCGATACGATCGACCACTGGATCCTTCTGGAGTGGCTCTGGAGGTTGGGAATGCTTTCTCCACTCCTGTTTAACATCTACATGAAGCCGCTGGGTGAGATCATCCATCACCATGGGGTGAGATATCATCAATATGCTGATGATACTCAGTAATACATCTCTGCCCCTGGTGAGTTGAGTGATGACGTGATTGCCCTTTCACAGGGCCGTAGGCTGTTTTGGTCTGGATGGGGAGCAAACTGTTGAACCTGTTGAACCCTGGCAAGACAGAGTGGCTTTGGATTTAGGGCTCATTGGTTCTGGGAGAATTACCATCTTTGGTTGTGGATGGGTTGGCACTGCCCCAGATGGATCTGGTGCACAATCTGGGGGTTCTTCTGGACTCAGGACTCCTGCTCCATCAACACAACCACTTGATTGGCTTCTTTTCAGCTTGGGGCTGCAGGCAAAACCATTACTTCAGGGCCTTCTGGAACAAGATCAAGGTGAGGACCAAACTTAATTGAGAGGGAATAACATTCCACAAGGAGGGGGCCACAGTGGAAAAGGCCCTTCTTCATGGTCCCATCAGATGTACTTCCCTCAGTGATGGGACCTGCAACATACCCAACCTCCCCACTCTGGTGGGCCGGGTAGATGTAACTGGGGAAAGATGATCCTGCAAATAACCAGGCCCCAAGCCATGTGTGGCTTTGAGGGTTGTAACCAGCACCTTGGATTGAACCCTGAAGCTGATCATCAACCAATGCAGCTCCCACAAAAGAGGTGACACATGCACAAATCTGGAATTGTGCAGATCTATGCAGGCCACTGCATTTTGAGCCAAGTGAGGCTTCCAAGTACTCTTCAAGGGCAGCCCTAGAGCGCATTACAATAGTCCAAGCGGGAGGTGACTAGGATGTGGGTGACTGTGAGAAGAGCACATTGGTCCAGGAATGGGTGCAACTGATGCACAACTGGTAGTTGTGCAAAGCCATCCTGGCAATGACTGCCAAGTGCTCGATTGTGTTTTTGGCCGCTGTGGGGGGTGGGGTGTTGATGGGTGTTTGTATTGGGGTTTTTGTTTATAAGCAACCCAGAGTCACTGTGTATAAATTGGGTGGCCATATCAATTTGTTAAATCAATAAATAAAATACATAAATAGTATGCAGGATGTTTTTCTAACTATATCAGTAAAATAATGACACTCTAGAAAAGTATATAGTTTATCAGAAACAAACCATTTATTGAAACAGAATGGAAATATTTTAAAAAATGGAATATACATGGTTCGTGATGTCATCTACTTAGAGTTAAATTTTTAATAGCCTCATCTGAAATAGATGAAATAGTGAGCAGAAATATATTCCAAAAACAGACTTTCTGCTGAAGATTCTCTCTGTCTCTTTAGCTAAGTAGTTATACTAATCGAAGTGGAATAATATCATTGCATACTATTGAGAATTTAAATGGCTTTCCAGAAATAGCCTGCATAAACTCTGTCAAATATATTTCAAATCCATTTCAAATATATATCAAATTATATTGAAATATATGATTCAAAAGCAAAGACTTTCTGTTGGAGATTCTATCTATATCTACATCAACATCAACATCAACATCAACATCAACATCAACATCAACATCAACATCAACATCAACATCTACATCTACATCTACATCTACATCTACATCTACATCTACATCTATCTATCTAATCTAACCAGAGCACCATTTCAAATATGATTGCACACTATCTATAAAATTCATTAAATGGGAGGGGGAGGCATATGGACTTTTTTTCCTAAAAATAAAACAAAGTAATCAATGAAGGAAGGAATATGACACAAAAAAACCTTTTTTCTTACCCGTTTCTTCATCTCTAAGACAGAATTCTAGAGTTGATTTAGAAACCATATTATATACCAGTTCAATCTAATAATTTCAGAGAATCATACCCACAAAATTCTTGAGTCTGTGGACAAAAAAGAACACTTTGAATTTTTGGTGGATGTGCCCTAAAGTAAACATCTTTTAGAAACAGGAGAGAGAGGGAATTATCAGTATTATCTGCAAATCATTAAAGAGAAGATCAAACTCCATTTGTTTTCAATCTGCTCCAAGATTCAAGCAAACAAAGAAAGCCCCCAAAACTAAATTACTCTGCAAGTAGTAGCCACAATAAAAATAGCTCAGTTTTGGAAATCAAATTGTTGCCATAAAAAGTTCACAAAAGTTTACATAAATGATGACCAAGTATTGAAAAAGCTCTAATAAAATTGTGACAACAACAACAACAACAACAACAACAACAACAGAACTCCAAGGAGACCATATTCCAAGGGCTCCAGAGTTAAAAGCTCTCCCAAACCAGCTTCTAGTACTGATTTCCTCAGAATAGATCTTTAGAATACTATGTTGGGCACAATCAGACCATTAGTGTAATTGGTGTGAGATAAGGAAGAGTCGAGGAATTCCATGGAGAATTTGAACCAGAAAGAAAACTGGAAAATGGAACACCAAGGTTTGGATTAGATATGAAGTGTTTGAGTATGTATAACTGATAAAAAGAACAATCCCAAAACATAAATCCTTCATGTGAAAAAAATTCAGTTTTATTTATTAACAGACATTACCTCTTTCCATCTGTAACAAGAAATGTCCTTTGGGCCATAGCAAGTTAAAAATGGAAGGGAAATTATCTTGCTGCTATGACTGTAGACTGTGTCCAGAAGGGAAGATAGCTGACCAAATGGGTAAGCAAAGGAATAGATTGAATGTATCAATGATTGAATAAATATAAATGGGGGCTGAATTTTTAATCAATATTATGGTGACTTAAAATCTTGAGCTTTACATCATATTATACAGGTCAGCAATGAATTATTTGAACTAATTGTTCATAGTTCAGTATGATATTAGATGATAAAATGAATCAGTTGACTCTAACTAGGAGGATCAATAGATTTCTCACCTTTGAATTGTTTCTTAATTTTCTTTGAAAATTATAAACAGTCTTTGAGGAAACCAAATTTTCTTGGGAGACTATCCAAAATGCTTCCTTCGTACCTTCTTTTTGGAAGTAAAGGTAACTTTGCAATGGTATTTTTTTTCCACTGGTTTCTACTTGTTTTTACTTTGTATTCCACCTGGATGGATGGATGGATGGATGGATGGATGGATAGATAGATAGATAGATAGATAGATAGATAGATAGATAGATAGATAGATAGATAGATAGGCTTATGGAACTTACATTGCTGCCTATCCCATAAAATGATCCTAGGCAGCTCACCACAACCCATAAAAACACTGGACCAGTCAGCCTCCTGACTCAACCCCCATTGTAGCCCAACACTTTGGGGAACAGCCAGTTCTTCCCAGTCCACTACAAGGATAAAAGTGCAGGTTTCCCTCGAAACTCAAATGGAAGATTATTGCAAAGGGCTGGTGCAGCTACAGAGAAGGTGCCCCTCCAAGGTCCCATCAGATGACAGCATTTAAAACAGAAAAATCTGGGCAGTGCCCACCTAGCTGACCTATTGGGCAGGCAGATACGCTTGGAGAGAGGTGTTACCCAGAACTGCACGTGCCACTGCACTGTGGACCAGTTACTGTTTTCAAATGGTCTTCAAGGGCAGCCTCATTGAGGGTGCATTCCAGTAATCTGCTTGGGAGCTCACTGAGGCTAGAGATAACTGTAAAAATTATAGCATGTTGAAATGGAATTGATGGTGCTTCAAATAATAGCATTTCTGTGAAAGGTTTTGTTGTTTGTTTCTTGTTTTCCAGACTTAGATGATTGTTTCCCATGTCCAGAAGATCAATATCCAACCAAGGATCGGGATAGTTGCCTTCGAAAAAGAATAACTTACTTGACTTATCAAGAGCCTTTGGGGATTTTTTTGGTAGTGATTGCAGTGTCCTTTTCTTTCATCTCAGCTTTGGTGCTAGGAATCTTCATTAAACATCAGGACACTCCCATTGTCAAAGCCAACAACAGGAACCTCACCTACATTCTTCTCATAGCTCTCTTTCTTTCCTTCTTTTGCACTTTGCTCTTCATTGGGCAACCTGACCAAGGGAAATGTCTCTTGAGACAAACAGCTTTTGGCATCACCTTCTCTGTAGCTCTTTCTTGTATCTTGGGGAAAACAACCATTGTTGTTCTTGCTTTCATGGCCACCAAGCCAGGCTCCCAAATGAGGAAGTGGGTGGGGAAAAGGCTGGCTATTTTTATTGTCCTATCTTGCTCCCTGGCACAATTCTCCATTTGTGTGGGGTGGCTGGCAATTTCTCCTCCATTCCCAGATTCCGACATGCACTCCATGGCTGAAGAAATTGTGCTGCAATGTAATGAAGGTTCAACCACAATGTTTTATGTTGTCCTTGGCTTTATGGGGTTCTTGACTGTGGTCAGCTTCACCGTGGCCTTCCTAGCTAGGAATTTACCTGACAGCTTCAATGAAGCCAAGTTTATCACCTTCAGCATGTTGGTCTTTTGCAGTGTTTGGATGTCATTTGTTCCAACTTATCTGAGCACCAAGGGCAAGTACACAGTGGCTGTGGAGATCTTCTCCATTTTGGCTTCAGCAGCTGGATTACTGGGCTGCATCTTTTCTCCCAAATTGTATATCATTATTCTGAGACCTGAACTGAATAAGAAGGAGCAACTAATAAAGAAATGAAACTGATTGTTATTCCAGACACCCTGCATAAAACCCAATATTCTCCAGAGCCATTTTTTTAATGTAGGGGAAAACCCCAGAGTCATCTATTGGGGGAGATGGGTGGCATACAAATTTAATCAATCAATCAATCAATCAATATCCCCTGCCTCCAATCTGAAAATGTGAGAACCACTTAGGTGTAGTGAGCAAAGTGCTGGGCTAGAAACTGAGAAACCATGAATTCTAGTTCTCCATTAGACATGAAAGCCTAGGTGTCATGTTGTTGTGGGAACTAAGGAGAGAAGTTGTAAGAAGTTGCTGTTGAGGAATTGCTTCTCCCGCATATAATTCACCTTATTCATGATGACTAATGGCTCATTTTTGTCAGCTTGTTTAATTATGATGTCACTCTTATTTGTCAACTCTGGGTTGATTTGTTTGATGATCCAGTTATTTATTTTCTTGGCTGTCCATAGTATTTTCACCCATCTTCTCTAATAGCAATGTTCAAAAGCATCTTTCTATCCTGCTTCTTCAAAGTCCAGTTTTCCCTTCCATAGAGTGTCACAGGGATTACCATGGCTTGCAACATTCTGATCTTAGCAGGTATATTTTCCAAGACCTTCATGGCTGTTCTACTAAGGGATTCTCTAAAGCATATTTGCTGACTGGTTGTTCCTTTACTGTTGATGGCTGATACTAAAGGGAGAAGCTATCTACCACTTCAATATCTTCAGTGTCAATGCTAGGGCAGTCACATAGTCCACTGCATTTGTTCATTATTGCAGATGTTACAACTGAAAGGCCCCCTGTTACAATTCCTTGGTTAACCTGTATTTCACTGAATGTCATGCCTGTCAGTCATAATTAAATATTTGTGGCGAGAAGTAAATGATTTTATTTTTTCCTCTTTTGATTTAATAGAGGAAGAATAGAGGGATTTTGCTTTGTAGAACTTGAAATTTTCCTGACTTCCTTTTTCCATAAAAATAAATTCTGAAAGTCCATCCCTATTTTTAAGGAAACATGCTTTTTGGATGGTGAAGGAAGGAAGGAATTCAATACATATTTATCTGTAATTCCATTCTATTATTTTCATCATCAACCCCTTTAAATAATTCAATTTAGAAATATCAAATAGGGCTGTGCAGCGCATAGGATTTGATCTCCAAATGTGGCTATGGATGTGCAAAAGCACCAAACTATCTCCCCTCTGCATCATCTTAAAGCACTTTCTTTTCCTGGGATGACATGAGAGCTTGAAAATGTTGCAGGTGGGTGTGATGTTGGTGCTCATGTATAGTCTGAAGCAATTGTTAGAGATTTAGTGGTTGCACAGCCTGAATATCAAATATCTCAGTATCCCATCATTATCATTATGAGAGGCACCCAGAGAAAATAAATACGTAGATAGAGATCTTTTCACTATGTTATGAAATAGTGTTAAGATCTGTGGTCATATCAGATTACGCCCTGACATTGCAACTATCAACATATGAAACATATTTGGCTGCATAGAAGTGAATATCAACACCACCTAATATATCAGCACATCTGCAAACTCTGCATCACTCGTCTTTCACCACTCACCTATCAGATTGGAAATCTTCCCTTCTGGACAGCGAAGACAATCATAGCAACAAAATGGCTTCCCTTCTATTTTGCTCTTAGCATAACCCAACTGGCAATAGTTATTACACAGGGAAAGTGGCCGGGCCTGTTCATAAAGGAAAGAAATAATGCTTTGTTTTTTTCCAAGACTGTGTTGTAACAGTTATTCTCCATTTAGGCTCCCACTCCATATCAGATTTGGTGAGAGGTCTTGGGAGTGATGTCAATGAAAACAGGGAAGAGAGGAACATACTATGGGATTTACAGAGCTACTGGTCATTGTCTTTGCCATGTATTTTGGACAATGTTAAGGTAAAAATCTCCTGGAGTCAAGCTCATCTTCTGCTTGGCATATGAATATGTCCATGTAGTTTATTGACAACAGAATGAAAGTAGTTTGCCTCTGTCTTCTTTGTGGAAGATTTTTCAACTTCCTACAGCCTTGGGATTTTCTAGTATTCTGGAAACTAGCTATCAAGCCAGACCACTTGGCTTAGCTTTTTCATCATCAACCAAGGTCTGTTAGCTGCTGACCTCTGCTGTGATGTAAGATGATATATGATTGTACGATGATATAGATTATATACTGTAAAGGCCTTTATGGAATAGGTAGAAGTAATTTTCCTAATGTATGGATGCATATTGGATACAATGAATTTGTTCCCTTATTCAACACTATCTGGCTACTGTATATACAAGCTTTGTGCATGTGGTTCTGTTATTACATCACTTCTTACTTTTTTTTTTAACTTGGAGGGATTATTGCACACTAAACCTCCATCCCCATAACATTAAACAGTAGAAGGTTTTTGTGGCTCATCTTTTGATTGTTCGGACACTAGAAGGGAAGAAAAATTACTAGAACTCTTCCAGAGCTCACATTCATTCAGTTCAACATTGATAATGGGATCCTGGATGATCCAAACATGTGCTTTACCCTACCTGGTTAAACCTGCTTGGCCAAATGATGGCTTCCTCATAGATCGTTAACATGTCCTTTTGGGAAGTCACAGGCCCTATTCCACCAACTTTGACTTTCTTGAAGGACTTATTTGGGAATGTGACCCAATTGATGACATCAAACCCAGCCTCTAGTTCTCCATTTTGGTTGAAAGATAGTGTTTCTCCTGCAGTATTATTGAATGAGATTCTTCTTACAATTTCATTCAACTACAAAACACACACAGAGACACAGAGAGAGAGAGAGAAAATCAAAAATGTTGAATGAAGGGAAGAAACAAGCAATTCATGAGGAACTATAAAATGGTGAAGACCTATCTCCACTTCAGGAACATGGGAAATAAACTTTTTTATATGTAGCTTATATGTTAATGGAGGAGACAAATACTGTCTACTGTCTGTTACAAGTTCTTGAAGACATAGACACTTACTTGAATGTGATAATCTCAGTCGGGGAAAGAGCTGGGAGAGATATTGTTTTACTTGGAGAGATTGTGTTATGCCCAGCCAAGAACAACGGTGAAAGAGTCTAGTTGAGTACAGTTCCTTTATTGCTTACACCTTGTATAAAGAATCTTGCCAAACTAAATCTATACTATAGCAACTAGTGGATATGACTGGGAGATTCTAGGGAGTGGCTATCCTGAACTGCTTTCGCTTCCCAAACTCCCCTTGAGGACTACATTGTCTCTTGTCTCCTTCCCCCTTGGATTGCACCCCTCCCTCCTGATAGCCTTGGTCTCAACCATCACAGTCCTCCCTGTAGATACATTCCTTCACAAAGTGAGAATCTTTCATTGAGAGTTGGCGGAGGGAAGAAAGTTGAAATGGTCTAAGGAGCTTTCAGGAAGTGAGTGGTTAAAACAGAGAAAATTGTTAGAAAGCAAAGTGAACTTTTATTCAATTTCAGACTGCTGAAGAAACTTCCTCCATGGTACAATTTCACCAAAGAGGAGAAGGAAGGGAAGAAGACAGCCTGGTATGAGATCAAACCAATCCAACATAAATTCCAAAGAGGCAGAAGCAGATGTGTAACTCAACGTTCTGCTAGCCATGAGTGGTTCCAGCTAGGTTTTAGTTCAACATCTTGATTGATACTGTTGGGAATTTAATAATAGTTATATGCACAGTGATGGTCACACTTTGCACCCTCCCTTCCTCTTACAGACAGGAGATAGATAATCCATGTCTGTTAAAGCACTTTCATCCATATGTTAATTTCCAGTCTCTTCCGAAGTTAGAAGTGGGAAGAGGGAGTACTTATCTACTTTAACATATTGCAGAACTATTTAATAGAAAGAGTCAACCTCTTGCAGAAAACAGTGCATTTACAATTATTAAATGTTACAGATGAAAGGGGAAGAAAGAAATTGAACTGGTCCTTGCATACTATCATTTGATCAGTTATGAATGCACCCACATGACCCATAACAAAGCTAAAAGGGAAAAATAACAAGAACTGTTTAAATGTTTCTAGGCATAGTTTTGATCATGATGATGGCAATCATGATGATGAAGATGATGATGGTGCCATCACTAAAACTACATTTATAGGAAAATGCCGTTGAATTGTTAAAGTTAGTTAAAATAAATTATGAAACCCATAAAGATGAAGTAGAAGCCATATAAAATATCAGGCGGTTTCCTCCATTACAGTTCTGGAATAGCGTTTCCTGTCTGTCTGAGTTGTATTAAGATAAACAAAGAGAAGGAAACTATATGAGTACAGGCACTCATTAAGAACCTTGAATCTTTGTGTCTTGAACATCTGAAAAGGAATTCTGTTTTTTCTGTTTAGGTTACCCTTTTTAAATATATAATTTAATTGGAGGAAACATACTCTATTTCCAAAAGCAAAATGATATTAAACTAAAAATTTAATTTGGCAATTAGATTAGGTATAGACTAATCTATGCACTTGACATTTGTTAGTGTCCTTGACACATTACCTTCCATGGGTGAAGTTTCAGAAGTTCCATAAATCTCACTTTGCCTCTTCTTCCTCTATGCTTGAAGATACTTGAATGAGCAACATGCAATGCCTGTGCCAATATATAGATTGCATTGTAGATGCTGTAGCTGTGGCCAGTCATGTCCATTTCAAAAACAGATGCAGGGAGGGTCTCTAGCTTCTCCTCCCCGGTGCAGATCGGTTAACTGTCCATCATGGAGTTGGGTTTCCCATCTACCATGAAGCCTGAGAACACACATCCAAATGCCTCATTCCAGAAAACCCTAATAAAGCCATCTTCTTGATTGAAGTTTGGTTTTATTGTCTGAAGAAATTCCCGAAACCCTAGGCTCTCTCTTGAATGAACTGCAAAAGATAGAGCACCATGGAGAAAATCTAGGTCTTCCCATCTCTGAAAG